GTGTGTGTGTGTGTGTGTGTGTGTGTGTGTGTGTGAGTATATATATATATAGCAGCGTTGTACTCAAGAACTGAATGTATTTTATCGATTTCTGATTTATATGTAATTGCATATGTGCGTATGCATGTGTGTATGTGTCTTTAAATGACTCCCTGCTGAGGAGGGGAATTGAATTGAAATTGAATAAAAATGAGAGGGAAGATAGTGTGTGTGTGTGCTCCAAGGGTACGCTTGCGTTGGGTTCGATGCGGAAATTGTAAAATTGCTGTTCCCGTAGTGTTCCCTTGACCACTTCTATATATTATTTTTGCTACATACGCTATTGATGAAATTTTAATTTCAAATATTAGTCATTGGTCAGTGAATGAGCGAAGAATACTGCATACTTTTCAATATTATACTTTCGTAATATTGATATAGTATTTTCAAATGAGAATTATTATACCCGAATGTGACATATAATTTTTGTGATATTAACGTATGTTTACGTATTATTTATGTGCTCATTATATATATTTAATGTTTAATATATGTTATTTAAAGATTAAAATTAACAAAGTGCATTTGCTATTGCGAATATGAACATGTTTGGTGATATTAAAGATGAGTTACATGGTCAAGAGGAGAATATGGCAGAAGCAACTGCTACAGCAAATACTCTTGCTGATATTTCTACTCTGATAACACAACAGAGTAAGAATTACAATGATGGTAGTAGACTTGGAATGACAGAATCCAATGAAAAAAGTTAGTTAATAATTTTAATTCGTTATTTACATTTTGATTAGTATGGTATGATTATTTTCATTTTAAAATTTAAGAAATTTTGCGAATTTAGTTTCTTCAAAATTGATTCTTTGAATGATCTTTTTTTTTTTTCTTTTTTTTGATTATCACTTCTGCTTTTATTATCGAAACGCTTTGAAATATAGAATGTCTCGTTTTTAATCAGTGAAAATTATGAAAATTTTTGAAATTGAATGAATTTTAGGACCAAGACGTGGTCGTGTAGCAGAACATCCATGCTGGGAATTGGTGCAACGAGTTGATGAACATAACTGTATGATTTGTAAAATATGCTCCAAAGTGGTAAAATGTTTGAATACCCGAAATGCAATGCAACATTTTAGCAGCTGTCATCCGCAGGTGGTCAACAGTTTTTTCTTTAATTGTGTGGTCGAGAATCGGTAGTGAGTACAAACTCTGAACTTGTGCTAGCATAAGTGTTTAAAGAAGAAAGAAATACGAGTAATTTTTTTTTCTAAAATGTGATTGAATAAGCCTTTTTAATTTCTGCTGTAATCTGAGTGAAAAAGACGAGCACAAATGTCTCATATAGTGTGCACTGCCGTTTCATTGCTTCATAAGATTTCATTTACTCAAATTATATAAATGCATATTACAAATAGTTCCAGATTGCTGTTGAGCTTGATCAATCGTGGCAGATGAAATTGCAACTCAAAGCTGATTTCAATCGTATATCCTCAGAAACCTCGTTATTCCGTAAATTAATTTTGTTATTTTGTTAGGAATAAAACGCAGATGTGCTGTTTACACTTTTTTTCATTAACTTTTGAGAAATTATGATATCATCCTTAATCTGTTATAATGTTCAACTTTTTAAGACAATGTCTCAATTTGATCTTCAGATAGAAGTATGTGGAAAAGGCGTGGTCGTGCGGCAGAACATCCTAGCTGGCGTTATTTCTGTCGAATTAATCGAAAAAGTTCGAATTGTAAATTATGTGGTGTGCATGTGGCGTATGCGTGCTCTGGCAATTTAATGAAACATTTAAAGTCCAGACATCTTGCAGAATTTGCCATAACTCAACGAGAGTGGGAAGAAATTCTTAAGGTTATCTTTAAAATAACTTCACTGTGCAGCAGCTGTTTTGGAAAATAGTATTGGAATTCTCTAAAATATTGATGAATATAGAAAATATTGTCTTTCGATTCTTTCTCACGAATGTGAAATTAGATATTCTGTCAGTTTCTTTCACTTATTGGATTACTTTTTTTGAAAATAAATTGACTGCACTTAGAGTTTTGCTATTTGCTGATTTCAGAGAAAGAAACAACTTTGCGAGTTGCGACTAAAGGTGAGTTCAAATGTATCTGGATCTGAAGAACAATCACCATCAAACTTCTTATCGTACGATTATGAAGATGAACAAGACGATGGCTTAGGTGGAGATGGAATCGAAGGAGAGGAAGATGGCACGTTATCGCAATTATTTCTTTTAAATTGAATTAAAAACAAGGATGCTTTTTACTTTTGTAGAGATTAGTTTACTTCTTTTCTTTTACTTTTGGGTACTCTTTTTAGGAAATGTGGAACTCTTCGAACAGAGCAACGGGAATGAGAATGACGGTTCAGCACCTAATGGTATTGTTTCTATCTAATAGATTCGTTAGAATTTTTTTTTGGCATAAAATATATTTTGGATTCATTTCTTTTACTGGATCCTTTGTTTCATTTATAAGTACTCTCTCGATTAACCTGATTGTTGTAATTTTATTTTTTTAGAGGCTGATTCGAAGTTGGATGATTTTGATGGTCAAACAACTTTGCAACATGATGCAGCAATTGAACCTTCTATTGCAGATGGCGCAAAAATTACGGACGTCAGTGAAACTGCGAACAGAATTTTGCAGTCCATTGGATTTTCATCTCATCCACCTAAATCACCCTCACCTGTCAGTTTATTTTTAAGACATTTTACATTATGTGTCATACGATAAATTTTGAGGATTTTGACCCGAAATGTATTATTTTGTTTTCTATTTCTCATAACATTATCATACGTTTGATTCAGCATTAGGTATTACAGTTCATTATAATCTTCATGACACTGAAATTATCAGATATACTAAATTATGAGGGATGCTTAGGCAAATTTTGTAAAAATAAAACTAATTGCGAAAAATAAATATATTTCAGGAATTGCAACAGCAGGGATCATGGCTTTCACAGACCTCTTTGGATACAAAAAATGATGCATTTAAAAGACGCATCAGCTTTTTCGGTGATCTGTATAACTTTGTTGATTTCATTTTTAATGATTTATTTGTTTTTGGATTTGAAATAAGTTTATTTGGATTTAGAAATTTTCTTTCTTTTAAAAGGAATTAATAGGTTAGTACTTATTCATCTTTCCTCTTCTTTTCCACTTAATTCATATTTCGGAAGGAAGATGCAAAAAATGGAAATAATTAAGGGATGGAGTTTATAATTTTGTTTCATAGAATGTAAATATTTTTTATCAAAAATTCGAATTCTACCTGAAATTACCGTAACAGTATTATTTTTCCAGTAAACGGATTAGCAGAAGATTTGGTATCATTCCCAATGGAGAAATCATTATTGTGTATGCGTCAGATTCGAAAATACATGGATGAAAAATTGATTGGATTGGAAGGAAGCATACAGAATTCAGAAGTAGACACCAATGTTACTTAATAATCTTTCTTTAGCAAAATTTGTGATGTAATTTATATGTCAAGTGCTTGTTTGATTAATTCTTGAACTCATTCGAGATGACTTAGTCCAAAGTTAGTGAATTTCTCTACTCTAATCTGTTTAAAAATCAACTCGTATTTATTTACTAATATTATATATAATTATATTATATATAATTATATATAATATTATATATAACATGTATCACCTTTTTGGAGTAGAATTTTGTTAAAAAAAATTCTGATTAGGGAGCTAATATAGGAATATAAATTTATAAATGCGCTTTCGAAAAAGTATCGTGGGTGATTGTTTTATTCGTAATGTGATATGAATGATTCTTGTGACAATTCAATCAGGCATTTCTGTATTTGTTGTTTTGTGGAAATTTTCATTCTTTGTGATGGTATTTGTTGAATGTGTAGGTGTTTTTTGAAAAAGAATTTTCCCTAAATCAGATCTATTAAATAATCCTTAAAGAAACCATTGTAGTTAAATATCAAAACCGAGCTTCTTTATTCACTGGTTAAGATATTGTATTAGGTTGATTAGTTGTAAAATGTTGTAAATATGGCATGTTACACATACCATACCTCAAACATATTTTATATTGTCTTCGTATTTATTGTAATCTCAAGTTTTACTGACCGAATTTTTCTGTAGCATTCAAATCAAATTGTATGAATTTTTTAATTTGTTTTATTCACTTTTCTCGATCGAATTCATTCTTCTGTTGCAATAGAAAGTTCGTAATTTTTATTGTAATACTTAAAATATCCTAAAATTGGAAAATTGGAGCTGGAATGAAGCCATTTTCATTGCTCTGATGATCAATGTAAATTAGAACTTTTTGCAGTTTGACTTGCATATACAAATTTGCAAATTATCAATTAACGCACGAAATAGGAATAAATTATTAGAAATGGTTTTAATGAATGAATGGGAGATGCTATAGGAATGACTGTCATCGAGTACGGATATTTTTCATTTTTTTCAAATTCCTCAAGCATTGATTAATTCAATGTAAAGCTGAAACTAAAGAAGTTGAAATGATAATTTTCACGTCGGTTAGCCATTTGGGCCGCAATTATGCGTCGTATTGTTGATGTACTATTGTTCAGGTCGCTGGTTAATCGCAAATAGTCCCGATTTTTGGCTCTGTTGAAATGCATGCCTGTGATCTTATATTTTGCTTGTTTCCCATCAATCATAAGGTTTGACCTTGATCTCAACTTGACGACAATTCTAATTTTCATCATTTTATTTTACTCAAAACATAGATTGATGACTCGATTATAATGCCGACTGTACAGAGATCTCCATAAAATAGTGAATATCGAGAATTTCTTGCTCACTGAAATACCAAAAATCTGTTTAATGGATCTTGGTCCGAATAGTTTTGCCTCGCAACAGCAAAATATTGATTCTGCTGCATTTATCATCAAGCGGGAACCCGAAAAAACGTTTACGTTAGTGGAAGCAACAGCAACTGCCAGTGCTTTAGCAGATATATCAGCTATAATATCGCAACAATTTACCAGTCAAAGTGACAATTCTGAAGATGGTTCGTTGCATTGTACTATATCTTTAATCAATCATTACAGCTATCGTGCAATATAAACAGTAAAATAAAAATCAAAAAGTCTATAAATTAAACGACTAAAACATATCAAAAAATCTGCAAGTTAAATGACTAAAATATACTAAAATTTCCACACTCTCAAAAAAAAAAACGAACACTAAAATACTTTCCATTAAATCTACTAACTGACTCACTTTCACACTCACAAAGTTGTGTTGTAGTGCCTTAAATTAATTGTGCTGTAATGCCTTAAGCGAAGCGGCATTATTTAATTTGCTCTCTGGTAAGTTTGTCGATAATATTATTTCGTAAGCAAACCATAGGTTTTTTGTATCCAAACAATTTGAAGCAGAAGACAAGGAAATTCTTTTCCGCCAAAAAAAAAAACTCTTGAATTAACACTTTCTTCCTTCTTTATCTTTTGCGAACACTTTGTTTTGTTTTTAGCAAAAATATTTTGAGCTATTTTTTTATTGGAATAAATACAGTACAATGATATTGCTTGAAATTTTTTATTTGGGGATCATTTACTATTTTTATAATATTGAGTGATCTGTCATCTGCATATTAGGAATTTTAGGAACGATCCGTGACACGGATCATCCATGTTGGGATTACATGCATAAATCTGAAGATTTGGATTCTATGGTTTGTCGTGTTTGTACACAACGTATCAAACCGATCGATATTCAAAAGGCCATGGAACATTTTATAAACTGTCATCCGCAAGTATTTTTTTTTTTTTTGAATCTTTTTGCTTATTGAAACACTATAAATGCTGATTAGTTTGGAAAGGATTACTGATTTATAATCTTGGTGAGCTGTTTAATTTTGCCTTACTATTTATTTATATCGGAAATGGGAGAATAGATGGAAGTAAAAAAAGAGTGGCGGATGAGGTGTCTGAAATTAAAGTCAGATTTGGATACAGTTATATTTTCTTCTCTTGGTTACTGCAGAAAATTTATATCTTTTAGTTAGAGAACACCCCTGCAAAGAACAAAGAACAAAGAAACGATAAGAATAGGTTTTGTTTCTACAGTGGTTTATCAAAATTTAATTATTTTTCTGTTGTTGATTATAAAACTAGTATAAAATGGAAGCTTGCTATGTCATTTATAAATTTAGTGTACCGAACGCATAGGTTCTAGCACACAGGATCAAAAACTTTAGCTATCTTCCAATACCGTTAGATGCACCTAAAGAGAAGCAGTAATGCGTGCGAGATGGAGTATTGATTTTGACTTATAAGCTATTGCTGATTGCCGTCGTTTTTCTGTTAGCAATGAATTGAAATTTCCAGAAATTAAGAAGGATAATAATAAAATAAAAATCTTACAGTAACCGTTATGCTGAGATGACCTATTAAATTTATCCCTCATTTTTTTTTTTTTTTGTTTATCAATCTGGTATGCTTTTATCCTTCCTTATGCAGTTATTTGATGGTTGTATATTTCATTTTTAAAATTGGTTAGTTTTACCTACTTTCTCTGTTCTCTTATACAGGTAATAATAAGATATTTTGAAGTTAGAGATATTGTTCTATGTTAAGGTTTTTTAATTCATCACTTTTTGGTAAGAGTAAATATCAAATCTTGTTCTTTAGATCGCTGCCGAGTTTGAACAGTCGTGGCAGATGAAATTACAATTAAAATCGTCGGCTAATCGATCAGTTGATGAACCGTTATCGTCAAAGGAAGGTTCCGAAAGACGAGGGGGTCATGGAACTGAACATCCATGTTGGCGCTATTTCACCCGCAATCGAAAAAGTGCTGATTGCAGGATGTGCGGTACACATGTTGCCTATGCTTGCTCTGGAAATTTGATGAGGCATCTGAGATCAAGGCATATCTCTGAATCCGTAATCACTCAAAAAGAATGGGAAGAAATTCAAAAAGTTTGTTTTTTTTGATCTTCCCGTTATGGAGTAGTCTGCGAAATAACGGGTGTAGTTATGCTATTTTATTTTTTAACCACAAATACATTATAATTTAATAGTTTAAATTTATCAGTTGTTTTTAAATTTTTTCACAATACATGATGATTAGCTTTTTGTACACATGATTATTCCATGATAACCATCTGAATTCAAAATCCTTTAGTTTTTTTCTTTTTTTTCCAAAATTTGACGCCGTTATTTTCAAATAACCTCAAATTGATATTTTTGCGGTTTACCTGAGTGATGGGTGGTAATATGTTAAATAGTTACGAAAAACTGGCCAAATATATACATACCTATTAGTAAAAGAAAGCTTACAAACTGAAATAAGCATGTAATTTTTTCAGACGATCATGAGTCAGAAATCCTCTATTTTCTGAATGAATTGTTTGTAAAACTATCTTACCATTCCTTATTTTATATTTCAGAGGAAAAAACAACTGTGTGAACTAAGGATGATGGCTACTGCAAATGCTTGTGGTTCGGAAGAGCAGCCTCACTCAAACGCTGTTTCGTATGCGTATGTTGACGAAGAACAGGATGGAAGCATAGCTGGAGCTGGGGAAGATTATGATGGTATATACAATTTGTGACTTTAGAAAATGTTTTGAGAAAAGCAAAAGAGAAGAATAATAAGACTTATAGCTCATTTTTTCTGATATAGTTTCAGGAATTGTTGAAAGTGATGAGCAGAGGTACAGGAAAGAAAGCAGTATTTCCTCATCAATTGGTATGTTTTCTTGTAGATTTCTTTCTTTCACAGCTGCTGTATATTTAGAGATCAGAGAGATTTATCTTAGAGTATTTTTGTTTTAATACTTTTGCATATTTATTATAATAAACGATATGGTTTGAATTGCAACAGTTTAATAAACTCCACAATTCATATGACTTAATGAGTTGATAAGTGTCAATATAGGGATCAGACACTCATAACGGCATTTTGCGCTCTTTTTTCTGCACATCTTATTTAAAAGTCAAATATCTTTTCTTCACAAAATCATTTCCATCTCATGTTTTTTTCAAATTCTTTATATGAACATGATTGGATACTGCTACAATTTCATAATTTTTTTTTGTTAGTTCTTGATAATCCTTTATACTTCTGAGGGAAGATTTTGTTATATTTTTTTATCGCTAATTGCGAAATATTTCGAATCACATATATTAAAAACATTTTTCCAGCAAGTGATGTAAAAGTGAACGGAGGTAATGATTCTACTATCAGGAATGCGCAGACATTTATTGGAGCGCATAATCCATCTTTTGAAGGGATATCTCCGGTGCGTTTTTGAAATCATGATTTCAGATTATTGTATTTGCATGAATTTTCTTATTTACATGATAAATTGTAGTATATTTAATATACCACAACTATATTTAATACTGTTATAGAAACAGCAGCAAAATTCGGGTTCTTTGTCAGGAGGTGGTCGTTCCCGGGCTTTTAATACTGGAAGAAATGCAGCCTTTCAGAAACGTATAAATTCTTTTGGTAAGCCATTTCATAAAAGAGATCTTTGTCATTTTTCAAATCAAGTTTAAAGCAAAATTTGAATTCTAATAATTCTAAACATGTATCATATTTTATGTTTTAAATTTTAAACAGTTTCAATCCTTGGCTTTTTAGTTAACGGACTCGGGGAGGAATTGTCGTCATTTCCAATGCAGAAGTCACTGGTCTGCATGCGGCGAATCAGGAAATTCATGGATGAACAGTTGCTCGAATTGGATGAAGTTTCTCAAATTTTCGACGATGATGCTGGGATATTATGACCTTTAAAAAATGTAGACATAAAGATATTATTGTTTTAAGACGAACAAAAGCGCAGCTAAAAATGAAGTAAATAATTAGTATTTATCCTTTATATCAGTTTTACATTGCATTTTGTATGGAACCGAACATCTTATCTCAAATATTTTTATAGTTTCATACATAAACGAAATTATATATCAGTGAACGATATCTAAACACCTTTGACCTATTACTTTGACATTCTAATCTATAATAACTTTATCTTGGAAGGCAGAAGTACATGCATTAAATAATGGCAAAGATTTCTAGAAATCAGGTTTTGCATTATTAATTACAAACTATCATATTTTATAAAAGAGTAGAGCGGTGTTTGACTTCTTGCTTATTGATTCTTAAAATGTAAGCTAAATGCTGATGAATTTCATCTAATTTGCTATTAGGTGTGATTTTTGTGAATATGAACTTTT